TATAAAAAAAAATCACAGACTCTTCCTTTCAGCAATATCTTTTTTTTTTTTTTTTTGGAGAGGAAATTCTTGGTTTTAGCCAAATCCCAATGGAGATGCTACTGAAAGATACCATCACCATGGACCAGATGGCATTGGACTCTTCCACTTGATTGATTTATATACCTCTTCACAGGTTCCTTCATCAGTTTCTATAGTTGTCACAGTCTCTTCTACATCTGCCAGAATCATGTTTAAGGGGAAGCTAGGTGGTGCAGTGGATAGAGCACCAGCCCTGGAGTCACGAGGACCTGAATTCAAATGCGGCCTCGGACTTACTAGTTGTGTGACCCTGGGCAAGTCACTTAATCCCAATTGCCTGAAAAAAAAAAGCTATGTTTAATAACAGCTTAGAAGACTAATTTAAATTGTCCACCATGCTTCCAATATGTCTCCTTTTGCTTCTCCCATTGAATTCTTTATGTTCATCATTTCTTATGGTATAGGAATATTCCCTTACATTCATATACCATAATTTATTCAGCCATTCTCCAGTCACTGGGAATATACAAAGACTTATATGAATACAACCACAGGATCATTTTTATATAAATAAAAGACCAAAATAATTAAAGAATGATTCCAGATCTATGGCAAGGTCCTGCTAATACAGTAAAAGTGTTGATTATGTCCCAAATTATAGGTTTAGTGCTATACCAAACAAATTACAAAAAAAATACTTGATGGAAATATACAAAATACTAAATTTCATTTGGAGGAATAAAAAGTCAAGACTTTCAAGGGATATAATGACAAGAAGAGAGAGGCTGTGTGGTGTTAGTGGACAGAGAGCTAACTTTAAAGACAGGAATATTTGGATTCAAAACTCATCTTTGACACATCCTGGCTATGTGACCTTGGGCAGGTCATTTAACTTTTTTTTTCTATTTTTAAAAAAAATTTATTTTATTTTTAATTTATGAAATAAAATAAGCATTTCCATAACACAGTATAATAAAAAGATAATTGCACATGAAACTACAAATCTATTATGTACAACTTGCAATTCTCTTTTAAATATATAATAAAGTTATCATGTAAATTTCTTTTTTTCCTTTTTTTTCTTCCCTACTCCCCTTTCCCCCTAAAGATGGCTACCTTAGACACAAATAGGTATATATATGGAAAATTATTCTATACATACTTCTATTTATCAGTTCTTTCTCTGTATGCAGATAGTATATGTCCTTTATCTTTAATTTATATATTTATAATAATCAAAATGACTTAGTCATTCAAAGTGCTCTAGGCAACTACCTCTAAGACTGTAAATTACAGAGAAAGTGCCAACCTACACTGATAGTGGGAGTTCCCTGATCTGGGAGTTCCCTATACCAATGAAGTCCTAGGTCTAATTCCTATCCCTAGAATTACAAAAAGGAATGAGTAAGGGAAGCTTAGTGCTATTAGATCTTAGGAGAAAGCAGTAATTATAATAGCTCTCTCATGCTGGATTTCAAAAGCAGAAAAGTTAAATAGATGGAGCAGACTAAAATAGCAAGACCTAGAAACAAATGCCAATGGCAGTCTATTGTCTGATAAACCTGAGAACATGAACCATGGGTGAAGTGACTCAATTCAAAGAGAACCTCTGGAAAAAAGGGGAAGCAGTCTGGTAAAAAATACATTTTGATCAGCATCTCCCTCCTGTTTATACCACAAAGAATTCAAATGGTTAGAGTAAATATAAAAAGTTACACCATTCAAAAATTAGGAGAGAATGGAAAGATATATCTTTCACTGTTGTGGATAAGGGAAAAATTAGTAACCACACATGGGATAGAAGAGATCCTGAAAAACAAAGTAGACAATTGGTCATAAAAATTTAAAGCAGTTTTAAACAAATTGTTGTAGCCACAACCAGAGAAGCAAATACAGATTGATTAAAAGAAATTTTTCATTTAATAACTGACAAAAATCTGATACCCAAATTCACAAAAACAGCATTCTTCAGTAGACAAATAAATATTCCAAGGATAGGAGCAGTTTTCAAAAGAAGAAACACAAATTACCAATTACCGTCTCAAAAAAATTCAAAATCCCCCCAAATTTTCGAAATGAAACCTTAAAATGTCCCCTCACAACTACCAAGCCATAAGTATGCTTTAAAAAAAATGTGAAAACACTTTGTTGGAGAGGTTATGGGAAGACAGGTATGCAAGTACATTGCTGAGGATTTGTAAATTAGTTCAACCCTTCTAGAAAACAGTTTGCAATGATGCAAGAACATTACTAAATTGTTCTTAGCCTGTGACCCAGAAAATCCATTTCTCAGACTTAAGAAATTACTGACAACAAGCAAAGGCCTATGTGTACCAACATGTTCGTAGTAACATTATTTGTGATAACAAAAAAGGTGAGAGAAAAATATACAGCATGTGTATTTTTTCTTTGAAAAAATTATTGATATCTTTTGTTTTTACATCACCCTCATTTCCCAGTATATTCCTCTCTCTCCCCCTCCTCCCACAAAGCCAGCCCTTATAACAAAGAAGAAAAAAGGAAAAAAAATCTTAACAAAACTAACCAACAGGTCAACCCCATCCAATTCTATGCACACATGTAGTCCCTCCACCTCTGCAAAGAAGGGAGGGAGGGGACAAAGAAGAAAGGAGGGAGGGTGGGTGGAGTATTTTCTCATCTTTAGGGCTAAGCCTGATTGTCATAATTACACAGCATTCAGTTTGGGGTTTTTTTGTTATTATTCTTCCCACTTACATTGTTGCAATGGTTGTGTAAGCAGTCCTGATTGTTATGGGCTTAACTCCTTCCATTGGGTGAGTTTGTTTCCTTTTAAGGTTTTCACAGAGCTCTTAGACCTGTCCCCTGTGGCCAAGCAGTACAAATGTGATGTTTCTTATGTGTGATAGCCCTTCAGATATTTGAAGACAGCTATCCTGGGTCCCTCAGGTTTTTTCCTTTCCAAAATAAACTTCCTTGAACCATTCCTCATATGACATGGCCTCCAGGCCACTGCGCATCTTGGTTATGCTCTTTTGGACATGCTTCAGACTGTTAATGTACTTTGAGGACTGTGGTCCCAGAGCTGAGCATGACACTCCAGGTGCAGACTAGATTGTCTCTTCTCTCAGGTTCTGGCCTTTCCCTGCTCACTGTGTGCCCTCTTCCCCCACAGGGGCATGACTCCTGGAGAAGCTGAAATCCACTTCCTTGAGAATGCCAAGAAGCTGTCCATGTATGGAGTCGACCTACATCATGCCAAGGTACCCACTGAAGACTGGGTAATGAGGTGCTCACTGTTGGGCTTGGGAATGGGGACCCCGGAACTTGCTTGACCAATCCAGTCATCAAAGAATTACTGTTGCCCTGTGAAGGGTGCTGTTCACAGACAGAGAAAACTAAGATTTGGTTTCTGCTCTCTGTGGTGTCAGGTGGACAGTACAGACAGTCAAGGTTGCAGGATTTCAGGGAGACCTATTGAGCTTAATGGGACCAGAGGAGGTTTTCTGGAGGGGATGACATTTGAGTTGAGCCTGAACGTATGGGTAGGATTTAGCTAAGCAGAGAGGGAGAGAATAAAGAGAAAATCATGAGCGAAGGTGTTGAGGCTAAAACGTGGAAGATTTGCTTCAGAGCGAATCCACCTGGAATTCAGGAGCCGTGAAGGGCATTTAGTAGGAGATGTGACTGGAAGTCTAGATTGCACCTAGAATGCCAAAAATTTGGACTTGATTCTGTAGGCAATTGGGAACAATTGAAAGATTTTGAGCAGGGGAATGATGTGAAAAGAGCTGGTCTTTAGAAAGCTTAGAGGCAGTATGAACAGGATGGCTTAGCAACTAGAAGCAGGGAGACTGTTTAGGAGGTTGGTATAATTGTCTGACTGAGAAGGAAAGGGGACTGGCACTGACCTTAGCTACCTGACCTCGGTAGGGTTAGACCGGACCTCTTACCAAGCTGGACTCAGCCCTCTTCTGTTGGAATTAGCTTCAGGGTATGCTTAGGGTTTCTTCTTGCTTGACCTACATGCCCTGAATGGATGATAAACCCAAGTCTTCATATTCTCAGGTACAATGGTTCCTCTGCATACAAGCACTTTCCCAGGCACTGCTTATGGACCAGATGTCTTCCACATGGTGTGCCCTGTGAGCTTTGGCCTTGCTTCTTTAGAGCCAGAGGCACCTTCTGCCTGGTACCTTGGGCCTCCCCCAATAGGATTTAGCATAAGAGGATCCCCAACAAGCTGGCTCTACTTGTATTTCTGGGGCAGATAGAAAGGTAGATCAACCTAGGCTCAGGCTGGAGTCTCCGGGCATAGCTTATATTCAAAGCACCCTCTATCTGTATGGCCCATGGTCTTGTGGCTGGTCTCCCTTACCCCCTTCCCACCTTACTGCTACTCCCTTACCTCCCTTTCCTATTTTTCTTCTCTTCTCCTCTCCTCTCCTAGGACTCAGAAGGTATTGACATCATGCTCGGAGTCTGTGCTAATGGCCTGCTGATCTACAGAGACCGTCTACGCATCAACCGATTTGCCTGGCCCAAGATCCTTAAGATTTCCTATAAAAGAAGTAATTTCTATATCAAGATACGTCCAGGGGAGGTGAGCCCTCTCTACCCTTGACCATACTTTATGGAATCTGACTTAGGAGGGACCTCAGAGAGCAGATATTCCGATCCTTACCTGAGCCAGAATCTTCTCCATAATAGGTGGCTATCTGGCCTCTTCTTGAGGATCTCTGTTGCTAGAGAACTCACTGTTCCTGAGCCCTTCCCACTTTTGACCCAGCTCTAATTGTTAGAGTTTTTTCTAAAGTCCATCTGAAATCTGCCTTTCTGCAACTTGCACATTGTGTGCTTAATTCTTCCCTTTGGGTCCACCTTGCCTGTGATGGCCCTTCAAATACTTGAAGGTAATGATTGGGTTCCCCATCCTTTCCTCCTTTTTCTTCTCCAGGCTAAACTCTCCTAGTTCCTTTCCCTGAAATGAATAGTAGAGAAGATTCCCTAGAGAAAGTAGGCCCTAGAAGCCTGGGGTCAGAGTTTGGCTGAGTAGAGAGAGGAGACTTGGGAGAAGGATGGTCTGATAAGGGGAGACAAGTGTGGGGAGAGTGGGTCAGGGCTATGTCACTCATCCTCCCTCCCCTGTTGTTCTAGTATGAGCAGTTTGAGAGTACCATCGGCTTTAAGCTCCCCAATCACCGGTCAGCTAAGAGACTTTGGAAGGTCTGCATTGAGCATCACACGTTCTTCAGGTGAGCAGGACATAACTGGGCAGGGCAGGGGCAAGATGGGGCAGATGAAACCGGGACTTTGGTGGATCTAGGAAAGGGCCTCTTGCCCCCCAGACATCCCCACTCACCTAGCACACTTGGAAGTCCCTCCCTTTGCCTTAAGGGATGGAAGGATCTACAGGCTAAATGCAAAGTATCCCTTACATTGATTTAGGAAAATATAGCCAGCTGATCCAGGGAATTGGGAGGTCCAGGTTCATTTCCTGGCTCTGCTGTTGACCGTGGGCATATTCCTTTTCCCTCTTTGGACTTCAATTTCCTTCCTTCTAAATGAAGAGGCTAGACTAAATAAGTGCCTAATAGACTCATTTGGCTGCAGAACACTGGGTAATGGCAGAGCTTAAAATATATTCATGTACCTTTATAAGCTGGTTCACAAGGGCTTAGGAGTATAATTCTCCCCTATGTGACCTTGGAAGAATCAGAAAAATTCTGGGGTGAAATAGAAGAAATTTAACCTAGTTTCCTTCAAGTTATATTTTTGGGCATTCACATAATTTCATGTTTAATATTTGACAGAGGAAATTGTTGTTAGCATTAAAATTGTTTTCTGGGAGCATCAGTTCCCTCAAATGGATTTAGGAAAGGCTAAGCTAAAGAATTCTGCTAAAGTTCCCTCCAGCCAAGAGGTTTTATGATTAAGTGTCTGCTGGATACAGAGCACTGAGCTCTTTATTGCATGAAAGACAAAATTTAGATAAGGTATGATCCTTCCTTTTGTGGAGCTTTTTGGGATCTTATAGATACAGGCACAGGGACAGACACAGATAACTAGAATATAACAAGATAGCAAATACTTTGTCTCTTTGTAACTTTGGGCTCTTCTTGTACCCTCCCACCATAACCCATGCTCCCAATACAGGCTAGTGTCTCCTGAGCCCCCACCCAAAGGCTTCCTGGTGATGGGCTCCAAGTTCCGCTACAGTGGGAGGACACAGGCACAGACCCGGCAGGCCAGTGCCCTCATTGACAGGCCTGCACCCTTCTTTGAACGTTCCTCCAGCAAACGGTACACCATGTCCCGAAGCCTCGATGGAGGTATGTCCCAAATTTGAGAGGCATTTGGGCATCTGAATGAGGGGTGGGTAGTCTGTCAGTGGCACCAACCTATCACAAGAATGATCCCGTTGCTTCTCACCTATGCATGAAACTCTCCCCCTCTTAGAGCATGCTGTAGCCTTTTGGGTTTGGGAAACTCTTTGGCTTCTGTTCAAAAGTGAATGCCTCTGGGATAGATTATCAGATGATTGATACCAAGGTCAAGGCCCATCAGGGGTCTGATACTGAGTATTGAAGGGATCTAGTGGTTCTAAGAGGCAAAAGTGAGAAAAGAGAGCATTCCTGGCAAGGGGGACAACCTATGCAGAGGCATGAATCTCTCTTACAGCAAATAGGCTCATCTGACTGGAACATAGAATGTATCACAGGGAGCAATGTATGATCAACCCGGAAAGACATAAGCTGGCACAATGGGGCAGGTCGAGTTGGACAGGAGTAATGTGGGTGGATATGAGGGAGATAGCTGAGTGTGGTGACCAAACAAAGGAACTTTGGTCTAAGCTAGGTGTTCTTGAGGCAGCTAGGTGGCGCAGTGGATAGAATGCTGGGCTGGGAATCATAAAGACCTGAGTTCAAATGTGGCCTCAGACATTTCCTGGCTTTGTGACCCTGGACAAGTCACTTAACCCTGTTTGGCTCAGTTTCCTCAGCTGTAAAATGAGCTGGAGAAGGAAATGGCAAACCACTGCAGTATCTTTGCCAAGAAAATCCCAAATGGGGTCACAAAGAGATGGACATGACTAAAATAACGGAACAGTAACAACAATAACAAAGGGGTTCTTGAGCTATCTTGTGTCATGAGCCCCTTTGGCAATCTGGTGAAACCTATAGCTCTCCCTCCTTTTTTTGGTGACTAGGACTCTTTATTTTGTTTACCTGGAGGTGCAGCAGCCACTCATAGGCCTGATCCCACTGCTGACTGACCTGGAAGCTTTGACCTTCTCTTTTTCTAACCTCGGCTGGTTTGCCCCTTCTTAGGTAGCCTGGTCCCCTCCCCATACCCCTCCAGGCTGGGGGCTCACTATTGGTGCCCAGATGAGAGCACTCAAATGACTGTACTGCAGTCAGTGCCCCTGAGATCAGCCTCTAGACTCAGCCCCCTCAGTGGCTGTGATTACAGTGTGTGCCACCACGCCCAGACACCTTAGAATAATGTTTAAAATGCATGAAATAAAAAACAAAACAAAACATGGGATTTCGAAGGAAACTGATTACATTAAAATATGGTTATAAATTTTTAAAATTTTCAGAAGGTTCATGGACCCCAAGTTAAGAACACCTAGTCTAGGAAGTCAGAATCACAGGCATCCTGAGTGAAGCCATGGAGCAGTAAGTTGTCCTGCCCTTTCCAAAAGCACTGCTGAGGCTGCATTGATTATTATGCCCTGAGAAAGAGGTAGAAAGGGAGAGGCAGGGCAATTGACCAGATATCTGCTCTGGCTTGGGTGAGACTAGACCAGAGCCAGGCTGAGTTCCAGTATTGAGTGGATTAATGGCGCGGGCATTGGGCAGGGTCTCTTTAGGATATGCTCGGCTCCCTTGGCTGGGAGCTTTAGGAGTCCTGACCTTTTGTCCTGGTGCCGTTCTCCCTTCTTTACCTCCCTGCCATCATCCCCCAGCAGAATTTTCTCGACCAGCCTCCGTCAGTGAGAATCATGATGTGGGGTCAGAGGCTGAGAAATCTGAAGAAGACAGAGACTATGGTGGCGGGAGGAGAAAGTCAGAGACAGAGGAAGGAGAGCTCCGTACCCCCACCAAGATCAAAGAACTGAAGGTATGAGACTTTCAAGCCTTTCTCTCTACCCCCAAGTGCAAGAGAACCTTGAACTTCCCCATCCTACAGACAAGAGCACCTGAAATACACACTGGGTGTCCAGGTGTCCTCAGCTTTGGTTTGTGGAGGCCAACAGCCCCAGCCACTTATCTAGGGTTTGACATGTGTGCACCCCAGGCCCCGCCCTTTCTGTTTCCTCATGAAAGGCAGCATGAACTGGTTCTTTCTCCTCTACCAAGGTATATCTCTGCTTGTGAGAGGGCTATGTATGTGATTGTACCCGTACAGGTCTATGCCCCTCAGAAAGGAGAGGGGCTCTCCTGTGTTTGGACAGGTGTACACATACACAAACATTCACAGAGCACATAGGTCCCCATTTTCCTGGGTATATTCTATGCATGTCCATACCTTCAGATATTGACATCCATGACCCCATGTCTCTCTACACACCTAACGCATTGACATTTCTGTCAAGAAAACACAGTTGCCTAAACCATTATATTTATATGCTTACAAGAACTTACATGTGTGATATGTTTTGAAAAAGTTGCTATTTTTTGTTCTGAACTTTAATGTCAGGCTTAATAAATATAATAAATAAATTTTAATTTTAAAATTTAAATTTTAAAATAAGTTTAAAATTATATAATAAATAAATAAATAAATATAAATAAGGACTACAACTTGAAATAAAACCATGTAATCAGCACTATTTGCATTTTTTTAAAAAGACTATAAAGGTTAAACTAATAATGGCAGCTTGTCATACAACCCTGACCTGCCCACACAGATTCTATGATGGCATCACTATTGTTTGATGTCCATAGCTGGAATACTGGGGCCATAGGCATGAGTTTCTCAATCCTGAGGAGGCCTTGCCTGGAACTCAGAGAGGCCTCCTGTGCCCCACATGGGCACAGCCTTTCAGGGAAGGTCCCTCAGAGGCCACGTATGCCTGCTGTTACCCTTCCAAACAGGTGTGTTATCACATTTTCCCCAAAGCCCCCACAAGCTGAAGATGGTGGCCGAGGAGGTGATCCTTTTTGGGGGCAGCCGTGAGGCAAGACTATGAAGGCAGGAGATCTGTGTTCTCCTGTGACATCACCAAGCGCTTACCTAGTGGCCTAAGGAGGGGACCTCTTTCTGACTGACTCACAAAAGGGGCCTATGCTTGTGGGTGCTCAGGAGCCTGTCTTTGTTACTTTGCAGTGAGATTCACACGCGCACACACATACTTGGATTCAAACAAAGAGCACAGTATGTCCACAACTTAGGCACGTATATGAAACAACCTACCTCTTCAAGCACACACATATGTCTATACACATGCCTCATGAATATACACATGCACCACAGCTGCATGTCTGTACAGACATAACGTTCGTAAGTAAATGAGTATGCTTCGCAGTCCCTCCACCCAATTATATTGTTGGTAGCCCCAGCTTAAAGTTCTTTCAGTGATTGAGTTCCCCTCCCCTCCCTACCTCACCACCCCACCTGACCTGAATCTCGATGTATCTAATGTAATCCCTCTACTGATCCTGCTGGTTCCTCCCTCACCATGTACTGCTAGCCGGAGCAGGAAACCACGCCGAGGCACAAGCAGGAGGTACTGACCGCATCATTCTCCCCTGCTCCTTCTGGTCCATTGTCTGCCACCCACCATCTGCCATGTGCTATTCTGCCTTCATTTCAGGCCCTTGCCCTCTCATTTCAGGACATCCCACGTGCCATCACTGGTCCTCATCTTCTTTTTCCTTACGTTGGGAAAGTCATCCATATTCCTGGGGAAGGGGCCCTTGCTGTGCTATTTGCCTGCTTTCTGCCCTCATAAGTTTATTACTCAGTAAAATTCTCACCCTCTTCCTTCTTCTTCCTTCATCTTATCCATTTCTTCCTGTTTCTTCTTCCTCTTCATTTCTCTTGTTTTCCTCTTCTCTTTTCATCTTTCTCTCCCCTCTTCTTTCCTCTTCCTCTTCATTTCTCTTGTTTTCCTCTTCTTTTTCCTTCTTTATCTTTCTTCTTCCTCCCTCTTTTTCTTCCTTCCTTCATTTTCTCCTTTTCTTCTTTCTCTTTCTATTGACTCCTATTTCCCCAGCCAGAAACAGCTCCTCTCCTGCTTGTCATCCAAACCCAGCCTCTTCATAGTATGTTCATTGCCAAAATGTGTTTGTCTTTTGACTGTCTTGGGAAAGGTTAAGTTTGAAGATGCTAGAAGGGGAGGGAATATGATCCTCATTCTCCTACAGAGGCCTCAGATACTCTAAAGCCTCATGGGTTCAGCTGGCTGCCATAAACCCTAGTGGATATTACCCTGCCTGGTATAGGAGACCTGTCCTATGGTAGATGGAGGAGCTAGGAGATATTCAGATGACTATGGCCAAGGCATTTGATTTTCCAAGCTTCCCCGAGGATTCACCGTCACTGTGGAATGGTAGCTCTGGGAGTGAGGCAGTGGGCCCATTGTGGAAAGGCAGACTCATTAAGGCAGGTTACATTTGCTCTTGGGGAGCCCACTTTTTCCTTCTACTTATAGTGGCTGAAGAGTCAACGCTTATAGACTGTAGCCTGGACTTGGAGTCAGAAGATCTATGTTTGATTTTCATTTCTATCACTTACTAGCTATGTGACTTTGGTCAAGTCACTTTACTTTTCTGAGTCTGTTTACTTATCAGTAAAATGGGGATAATAATAATAATAATAATAATAATAATAATAATAACTACTCTCCCTCACATAGTTGTTCTGTGGATCAAATTCAGTAATGTATATAAAGCACTTTTTATTTCTTTTTTCTTTTTTTTTCTTTCATTTTTGGTGAGGCAGTCGGGGTTAAGTGACTTGCCCAGGGGTACACAGCTAGTAAGTATCAAGTGTCTGAGGCTGGATTTGAACTCAGGTCCTCCTGACTCCAAGGCCGGAGTTCTATCCACTGTGCCACCCAGCTGCCCCAAGTACTTTTTTTTTATTATAAAGTGCCAACCAAATGTAGATTAATTACTATTATCATCCTTAGTAGTATATTTCCATGGCTCCAGAGACTAGCTCTAGAGGCTTCTAGCTATATTTTCAGGCCAGCTCCCTAGGTCTGTGATCTTGTGACTGTCTTTCAAAGGAATCTGCTGACTCTTTTTTTTTTTTTTTGGAACCAGTGAAATGGGATTGTGATGAATTGAGCATTCTTAAATAACCTTGTAGATGAGACATCCTGAGGATATGGAAAATAAATGTAAATTGCTCCTCTCTCCCATGTTCCACCCCACAGCAGGCAGGTGACTACTTCCAGCCTCGTTGAAGCCAGCCTGTGGTCAGATGCCTTGGCCTTTTCTTTCCCTAACTACTGGTCTCAGGCCACAGTGCTGCAGTTGGTATCTCCTACTCCTGATAGCTTGGTTTAAAAGGCCCTTAGAAGCACTTGTTATGGGCAAGGCACAGAGGATGTGTATTTGAAAAATGGTATTGACCTTTCCTCAAGGAGTTTATAATCTAATTGAGGGAATAAGATGGCTACGCAAGTATCTGTTATAAGGTAACATGATCAGAATAAAGAACTACAGAAGGAAGTCCTATTTGAGAAAGGAGATGTCACTTTTCATTAAGGGCATCAGGGAATGCTTCATAGAGGAAATGGCGCCTGTGCTGAGACTTGAAGAAAAGGAAAGTTATTTCTCTAGGAAGGGATGAAAATAGATAATATTCCAAGCATGGGGGACAGTTCACATGAATCCTTCCCTCTTTCCTCCTCACTCATACCCAGAGAGCATGAGCATGTAAGGGGTTAGGCACAGAGATTTGCAGCTTCTGCCTTTTTCAATCTTCCCTGTCCCTTGCTCCTTGCTTTTGGAATGGAAAATTAGTTCAGAAGTACTTTCCTTTTTTAACTCACTTGCTTTCTCCATCCCAAGTTCTTAGATAAACCAGAGGATGTACTGCTGAAACACCAGGCCAGTATCAATGAACTCAAGAGGACACTGAAGGAACCCAATAGCAAATTGATCCATAGGGATCGTGACTGGGAACGTGAGCGGAGGCTGCCTTCTTCACCAGCATCATCCTCCCCCAAGCATGAAGAAGGAACCCCTAAAGGGACCCCTGAGAAAACTAATGAGGTGGGTCCTGTGGCCTTGGGCTCCATAAAAAAGAGTGGAGTGTGGGAATTGGGAATGATTTACATAGATTTTATTGCATTTATCCTCTGCCTCATAGTAGCCATTTTTGGTGGAAGAAATTTGACATTGGAACATGAGATGTTGGAGTTGGGGTGTGGGAGAATGGTTGAAGCTTGAAAGAAGGAATTTTAGGGCCAAGAAAAAGTTCTTTATTGTTCAGCATTCTACTGGCAAGAAAACTCTATTAACTAACATCTAATTAACTCTTTAATGACTATTATTTTTAAAAATTCATGACAAAAATAACTATTAAGAATGTACTACAAGCCTATGTGGTGGGAGTTACCCCTATATCCTAACTTTTAAGAACACAGGTGTAAATTTCTCTGTTGAAAAGGAGAAAAGATAGAATTTTATAATCCATGCTTATAACTTCAAGGTAGTATTCTAAGTACTTTCTATGACAAATTCTAAAATATATTTACCTATATGTGTTATGAAAAAGGCATTTTCTCCCTAAAATCTAGATTACTAAGTACCATTGTACAACCATAGTTGACATTCAATAACCATAAATAATAACAGCTCACATTTAGATAGCTCTTTCTAGCCATCATCTCAATTGAACATCATAACAGTTCTTGGAGGTAGATAGTACAAATGTTGTTATATTCATTTTAAAATTGAGAAAATTGAGGCTCAGATGAAGAGACTTACCCACAGTCAACTAATAAGTATTGTAGCCTTGAATCTTAGCTTTCCAACTCCATGTCCAAAGTATGCTGTCTTCTTAGCTATGTGATGTTTCAAAGCTCATGGGTTTCTCTTATATGTGAAAGTTTCTAAGTAACTGAAAGAAGATTAAATTGTGCCCTATCCAGATTTAGTATAAAGTTAATATATCTGTTTTAATTCATTAAAGATAACTGATCTACACATGGGATATGTAGTATTTCTCTGTTAAATAGAATTTTAAATTAACTCAGCATTCCCCAACCTCAACGGAATATCTAGTATTGAGTCCCACCTCTAACACTTATTATCTGTCTGACCTTGGGAAGGACACTTCCTCTCTCCAGGACTTGGTTTTCCTATTTGTAAAGTGGTAGCAATTTGGACAACCTACTTTGCAGAGTGGTTGTGAGAAAAGTGATTTGTAAACTATAGAGGATTAGAGAAAAGTGAATTGGTATTATTATGCCAGATTACAGAGAGTTTGCTTTCTCTATATGAACAATAGGGAGTAAGATTTCCCCCCAAAAGAGTAATACAGACCAAAGTTAATGCTCAAAGCTCTGTGACAAGTTACTGGTGTAACTTGTAATGTTCTGGGGTATCCCCAGCCGCAGAGGTAAACTCTAATGTTTAGAGCCAACATTGCAAGAGGTAGGTAGTACTGAGTTCTTCTAAGCCATGCTTAGTACCTCTATCAGAGACAGGCTTCTTGGGCAAAGGGGCTGACCAGATGGTGGTATGGGAGTTGTTGCTGTGAAGGCACTCATGATTGATTTGAATGGAAGTCTGGTCGTAGAGGTATGAACAGTAAAATGACAGCTGGACTGGTGTCTACCCTGCTCTCAGTGACAGTTGTTTCAGTCAGCTGTGGCACTGTATTCTTGGTGCTGGGCAGGGCTCAGTTCTGGTTCCACTCTTGAGATAGCCTGTCAGCAGCCCTGTCCCCTCAGGCATCATGGGGCTGAGGCTGTGATGGTACCAGCCAGACTTCGGGAGCAGCTTGGATATGTATGATAACCCTGGAGCAGGGAGTGGAGGATGACCTCAGCCTTGGCCCTCCCCTGAGAGCCAAATATCTTTTACAAGAAGGGAGGAAATCTATTTCCTTAGCCTCAACCAGGGAGGACTACCTGAGAAGTGCTTAAGATGCTAAAGGTAGATGGTTGGGGGAAGGAAGGATACTATAACTGAGTCACGGGGAGGAAGCGTCTCTGATGGCAGTGGGCAGAGCCTACAGAATGGATCCAGGGGCACTGCTAGCATTGGAATGGCTCTGGAAGCGTCTTCAGAGGGATTCAGAGGGTGGGTTTAGAAAGAGTGTGTCCTGGGATTTCAGGAGCCTAGATGCTACCCACAATCATGATCTCATGGTCCCCAGCGATCCATGAGGGAGGAGCAAGGATAGGAAATCAAAATGGAAGGAGCTGAGTTCATTTCCTGAACTCTTAACTTAATAACGTTTTCACTGAACTATGCCATGAATCAAATTTTGTTCCCACAAAAGAAAACAAAAGCCACTGAGGAAAGCTGTTTGAAAGCTGTTTTGAGCCCTTTTCCCTTTTCTAATACTTGAATAGGAACAAAGTTGGCTGGAATATCCACGTGATCTTTGATCCTGGGACCATCCTAGTAGGTATCAGGCACAGTTCTTGGGACCTTCATAAGGGTTTCTGCCCCAACCAACCTAATCCTATGGATCCATTCTGGGACTGAACTAGGAGCTCTGACTTCCTCCCTCCTCAGCTCCATCCTCCTCACAGTCTTCCTGCTCCATCCAAAGAGGCGATGTGATATAGTAGATAGAATGCTGGACTTGAGTCAGGAAAGATTCGAGTTCAACAAGTCTGCCTTCAACCCTAGCTGTTGTGACTGTGAACAAGTCATTAAGCTCCAGTTCCCTCTCTCTAAAATGGGTATAATATTAGCACCTACCTCCCAGGAATGATGTGAGAATAAATTATAATTATGTATGTAACGCATGTTTATAAACCTAGAGCCATACTTACATATTGAGTATTATGAGTGTTCTTCCTCTCTGAGCTTTAGCTGACTCATTTGAAAAATGGAGATGATAATACCTATGTAGTTCCTACCTCACAAAGTTGTTGTAGGGATCAAATGAGGTAAAGATTCAAAGTGCTTTGTTTGTGAACCGTAAAGTATTGGATAAATGTCGACTATGAATAGCTTCCAAACAAGACACTTTATACTGTTGGATTTGAACCAGGGCCATGTGCGGAAGGGCTACCTGTTCATGGAATGTATGTCCGTCTTTCTCTCTTTCTCTCTGTATTTCTCCCTCTCATCTCTCCTTCCCTCTTCCTTTTCCCTGTGCCCCTGCTCTCCCTCTGCCTGGGCCCTGGACCTTCCTTCCCTGCAGAGCCAGAGAACAGAGGACGCCTCCCAGCTGGAGCCGGGAATTGCCTTAGGCTTGGAGTCATTCATCCAGAAAAGTCTTGCGTCGTCTCCTGAGGTTACTGTCCATCCTCTGTCACCTGGGGTCTTTCCATTTCTCCCGGGGTCTCTTCACTCATCTGTCACCTTCTCAGGCGTGATGGGTGGGGGGACCTGTCCATGTGCCCATTTGGGGAGGGTGCCATTCTTCTCTTCTCAGCCATGCTCCAGAGGGGAAGGAGAAGGCCTTCAAGCCTGGCCTGTGAGTAAAGGGCACCCTGAATGTCCCCTCCCCTTAGAGAACAGATTGGCTCCTGGGAAAGGACTGAGGGACTCTTTCCCAGAGTCTGGACATACAGGCAGAATTTGTTCAAAGCTGAATTGTGTTGACTGAGGGCATCAAAGTACCATGATGGCCACAGTCTCTGAGGACTTGTCTTTATTTCTGTAGGCTCTGGGAAGCTCCTAATCTAGGTGATGATGGTCCTTCTGTCCCCCCTTCCTTCTCTAGCTCTGGTCTGGGTTGAATTCCTTTAGGGTCTGTCAGATTCCCTGCTAGAAGAGTACCCTTCCCCACCATCCCCTGGCCTAGTCAGATAATGAGCCTGTTGGGCTTCTGTGCCTGAGGTCAAAGATGAGTAGAAAGCCTGGGTGTCCCTTTCCTCCCATACTCTGCTGTCTAACTCTCACCCCTGGGCTTGGCTACAGGGCTCCCCAGTGGGTAGCGTTCCCCTAGTGGAATGTAGAGCAGCAAGACGCTTCCTTACAAGATGTGCTCCTCTTGGCCAGCGGCCCAGTGCCCAAACCCTCCATGGGGAGGAGTTAGAGGGGGTAGCTTTATCCTCTGAGAGCCCTGGCCATTGTCAAGAGCAGGCAGCAGTGCCCTCCTCCCCTACCCCCCCCCCACACACAAAAGGAGGAACTCTTGGTCCACACAAGAGAAGAGGCAAACCCTAGAAAAAGGGAGAGTCAAGAACAGACTATTCTTTCTTGCTTATGCCCCAGGGACATCTTGGGGCCTTCCCTTTGTTTCCTTTAGGATTTTGCTTGATCCCAGTCCATTTTCTAGTTAGCCTCATTCTTCCCCTTGACTGGTCTGTTTAGTGTGGAGAAGAGAAGACTGAGGAGAGACAGGATAGCTTCCTTCAAGCATTGAAGGGCTCTCTGTCATGTGGAGAAGGGATTAGACTTTTTTGGCCCAAGGGGGAAGAATTAGGAGCAATGGATGAGAGCTGTACTTTTCAGCTCCATTTAAGGAAAATTTTTCTAATAGTAGAAACTAGTGGTTTGGGGCAGCTAGGTGCCACAGTGGATAGAGTACTGGCCCTGGAATCAGGAGGACCTGAGTTCAAATTTGACCTCAGACACTTAAGTCATGTAACCCTGAGCCTACCTCCCCCTCCAAAAAAAAAAAATAAAAAACTAATGGTGTTAGCCATTAAGATGGGGAAGTAGGGAATTCTCTATCACTAGAGGTCTTCATGTATGAGTTAGAAGACCACTTTTGAGAGATCTTGTAGAGAGCATTCCTGCTTAGATAAGGGTTAGACACTTTTGTAAGTTAGGTAAGTTTGTGGAAGCTTCCTAGGGGAAGTAGTGAATTCTCTATCACTAGAGGTCTTCATGTACGAGTTAGAAGACCACTTTTGAGAGATCTTGTAGAGAGCGTTCCTGCTTAGATAAGGGTTGGATTAGACGCTTTTGAGCTAGAAGGGACCTTGGAGTTCATCAAGTCCAACCCCTCCTTATTTTACGGCTGAGGAAATGGAAACAAGGAGAAGTTAAGTGACTCACTCAGGGTCATGCAGGTAATAAGTATATGAATCTGGACTTAAACTCAGACTTTTCTGACTCCCTAATCCAGTGCTCTG